TACAGTTCAATATCCTCCTCAGCTTCTCTTCCTCCAAAGGGCCTCTCTTCCCCTCCCTTCCAGCAGGTTGTTACCTCAGCATGTACTGGCTGCAGTACTGAGGTAGCTTATTACTTACAACGTTACTTCTAGTGAGCATTAGAACCCTCATAGGAAACAAATGAGTAATGAGTACGCAGAACTGATAGATTTTCAGTATCAAAAGAAGTGCACAGTGTTCCCAAGCAGAGGCTTTCTAGTTCCTAACACAAGGAGTGGAGGTGGTCAGCCCTCCAACAAAATTAGGCCTGTACAGATTGTCTTTTCAATTGTACTAATAATGGCAGTAATTTTTCCCCACAGTGTTAGCTGTAAGATCTGGTAAGCATATTTAGAGCATTTTTCTGCTTAAGATCAGTCTTCAAATAAGAAATAAATAATCAGAAACAATTGGCCACTGCTACTTATTTTAACAATTTCAAAACCATCAGCACATTCCAGTGCTTTCAGACACATTTCCATCTTCGTAAAATAATAACTTCCATGCCTTTAAAGTGGTAAAATTTTCTCAACACATCAACTTACTGTGTTAAAGCTGTTTTGCTAACATTAGGCTTCTACTTTGTCTTCAGCCTACAGTTCATGTAACAACAAAACCCTGTAAGCCATAGCATAAAGCCACTGGATTTGTGTCAGGCAGCTGTGACTCACGCATACATTACTGTAAAATGTTGCAGCCACCAGGTACATAATGAGATAAAAACTATTGGATTGGATTAAAGAGATCACAGTTCCTCATGCTATGGGTACACACCAACTACCCCATCTGTTTCAGTCTTACGAGTTTATATGATTTAATATGATTCACACATATTAAAGCTCCTATTATAGTTACCAGATTAAATCACAATTATGATTTATATAGTCCAAGGGAAGAGGAAAAAACCAGCCCCCAACAAAACACACTGTATTAGAATGGCCTCTTCACTGTCTGTCCCCGTTTTCACTGATAACTGTGTATGCTAAGAGTGGTAGGAAAATAAAAAACAAAACACCCCACAAACAGCCACAGCAGTAATTGCAACCAGAACAAGTAGGGAAAAAGCTCCCCTCAATTCATCGCTCCCCTCTAGGGAGGGATTCTGTGGAAGTCAAGCTTCTCTATAGACAGCCACAAGTAAGAGAGAAAAGAGCGCTGAGTAACATAGCTTCTGATTCTGAGAAAAGAGGTAGAGAGGGAAGAAAGAGGATGTTGGGGAGTGAGGGTTTTTTGTTTTGCTTTGTTCTTTTGTTTTTGTTGTGGTTTGTTTTGTTTTTCTTTCAAAGCAAGCCACAGCCATAGGCAACACAGTAGCAATATGGATGCTACTGTGTAAGGTAAAGGGCCCGGCAAAGAAATGTCTTAAGACATAGTCCAATATGAGTTGCTGCCTGTCCAGTACACCCTGCAAGTTCACTGAATTGTTTCCAAAAGTATAAAATAGTATTTTGATCAGAAAGGTTGGAAAGCCCCCACTCTGAAAGGAATGAAATGCAGCCCAATGAGGAGAATTTCAGATGGGCATGGAAACCAGGAGGTAATAATTTGATTGAGTTCAGAAAGTGGCTTCTCTAGGAATTGGAGTATTTTGACACAGAGTATTCAGTGCTTTGCTAATGCTAGTAATACCATATCCTGAGCACATACGTGGTCAAAAGACTAATTTGCAGTCCCCATTATACTAATACAGCCTAGTTACTGCCCCTACCAGTACTAACCAGTACTGAGGTGCATTTCAATAGATTCCAGGGCCATTTTACAGTCCACTTACCAAGCAGGAGAGAGCTCTGCAACGCCATCAGCTGTCTGTGTAAGCAGCGCTTCCTCAACAGCTGCTGCAGACGGACTGAAGACAGTTTTCTCGGGGGACGGGGAGCCCCCCAAGGCGCACAGGGAACCCCCCCTCAGCGCACAGACCGGCGGCTGTGGCGCCCCGGGCCCGCTCCGTTCCCACAGCGGTCGCGAGCACAGCGCGCCCTCTGCTGGCAGCCCCGGGCCGCGCGCGGTCTCGCTGGGCGGG